TCGGGGTTTTACATATTTCCTCACCTTTTGTCAGCACTTCTTACTGTGGTCATTTTCTGACCTGCAACCAAGCATTCAATTGACCTTAAAACTGCCTCAAAAAATAAAGCAAACAACGGACATTCTACATGATATACGACTATGGCTTGCTACTCTTCTTTTGACATGATTTTTCAGCCATCACAAGACAATGATTTACCTACTTCAGTATACATATAAGAAAAAGTATATTCTCATATGTATTCAGTAATTTCAAACATTCATATTCAAAGAGATCCTTTGTGGGATTTAACCTTGCAAACATAACAATACATTCAAAGAGCGTAAGGAATCTATTCCCAGTTCAAAACTACACGAACTCTACACGACTGCAGCATCCAATTGATGCAATGTGAAGAAAATTAAGAAATTTAAAAGTCTAAATTACTGCTGTATATCATAAATGCCAAATTTCTTTGTTTTGTATGTCTATGATTTTCAGAGGTATCTGTTATTATTAACATACACAAACATGAATGATGAAAAATACATGATCATGAGATCAACAAATTATAAAAGAGCTCTAAGATCAGGTGAAATTATCTTGAAAGGCCTAAATTATTTCATCTTAGATCATCTTAGAAATGAAATAATAAAGATTTATACCAAAAAATTCAGAAAAATGTAATGATTTACTTCGAACTTAATCTCATTTTACAGAAAACTGCAGTAAGATCCTATCTTTCCACATGCATTAATAAAAAGATTATTATAACTCTAAAGTATAAGCACCAAATTTTATTTTCAGATGATTAACTTTTCAAAGCTTCGATGTTCAATCAGAAATCATTTTCAGTTAATTTATACGAGATATTTCAGCAGAAACTATAGTCGGAAACAAAAATTTGAACGTTGAAAATTTTGAAATATATGTCCGAATTCATCATGATATATATCACAATCTTACGTTAATTTTTATTGAAGTAAATAAATAATATTGGGAATAATTTCATATCCGATTTCAAGATTGAGTGAGATACACTTAATAACATGATCTTATTTCATTTACTAAATAATTTTCCTATACCTGCCCTGTAGAATTCATAATTATAATATACATGTACCAATCCAATTATTTTACATTTATTCAAAAGATTAGTTGGAACATGCATACATACAAAAAAAATATTATGGTTTATTTGATGTTTAAATTAGTTTTAAGTCATAAAAAATGACAATGTAGACACAAGTGTCAGTTTTGAATATAATTTCTACGATGAAAAAATAATTGATACTACATGAACTCAATTTCAATTTGTTGAATGAATGCATTGTTCTAGTTAAAAGTACATTACTAACAGCTGCTTCTTTTTGATCCTGAGTCCAATTATTATATCTAAATATTAATTGATGAGATTATTGTTTTATTTTTGAAATTAAATTTTTACCGTTTCTGTTATTTACGCTTTTGTAATTTTATTACATGTTATTATTTGTTACTTATTGAAACATAAAAATATAACACTTAGAAAATATGTAAACATCTCCTCTTTTTAGACTTTTATCTTCGTTTTTTAAAATCTTAAATACTAATTCTCCTTCATTATTTAATAAGAATTTTAAAATTCTATTTTCATTATAAAAATCGCTTGATGTCTATAGAAAACTGAATTATAATTATCAGGATCAAAGTGATGGATATGAAAACTGCTTTTAAAATTAAGATGAATATTATAATGGTCATTTTATTTGCAACAATTAACGTTGGTAAGTTTCTTAAGCTAAAATAAATTATTTATAGCTGATATGATTTATAAATATAATATTCAAGCTTGAAGACTTAGCATTTTATTCAAAATTGAAGTCGTTCTCCTAATAAAATACATAGTGTTTCAATATATTCTAAATCAACCGGGTTGGTTTGGATTGGTTTAGATTAAAATTGTGTTTGTAAACAAAATACAAAAACCACCAAATTTCACAAATGATATCTGCTAAAATCTCAATTTCAAAATTGAGGAAGATCGAAGATACAACTTCATTCAAGAGATTGATGTTCTTTAATTTATATAATCTCTGATATGTGATAAAATCAGAAGTTAGAATCAAAATGTTTTATACCCCAGATATAATTTATAATCATACCTTTTTTAACAAAGGCTCAATTCAAAATTTCTAGGAATTAATTTATAAGTATTGAGCTTATTTCATAAATAATCATATTTAAAGCAACATTCTTTAAGGATTACCAGTAAGATAACTGAATTTGAAGAAGTTGACATTCTGAATATGTCAAGTTTTATTTCAAATTAAAATAGCAAGAAAACTCATCTATATTTTTATATTTTTTCTACATTTTTATAATAAAATTAAGCATAGCAAACAATATGATATCAAAATAACAGAAATTTAATGCAGTCAATCAAAAGTTTTACAATCCAAAAAAAAGATTAATTTTATTATCGTAGAATTTAACTTTAAATACATTTAACATATATTCATAAATGAAATTTTAATTTTTGATGTTGTTGATCTTTTTTTTAGTTTCTTATGGAATTTACGTTTACTCTTATGCGTTCTATAAAATAATACATGTGATAAAGAAAATAGTGAAAAATAGAACTGGTTTTAATCACATGTAATTTCATGAATACGAATCTTGCAATGATTGTAAGCGAAGTGAATATAATTTTTACAAGATTTTTATTTAAAAGAGTTTTACTACATATATTAAAAAATATTTTGGAATTAAAAATTTTTGAAAATCGCCTGCGTACTATTTTACATCCAATAATCAATTTTCTTCAAATGCTGATAATTGTGAAATTGGATGAAACTACATACCTAGACATGTTTGTTTCATCATTATAATTGTTATCATCACTTTTATTTAAAAAAAATTGAAACATATGTATATATACTTTAAATTTTAAAATTCATTTGTTTAGATTCAAATTTTTTAAATCAAGATACTTTATTTTTTATTGATTCATGAGGCAGATTCTCAGATTTCAATGAATGATTATATAAAAAAAATATCTGTAATTTTTTCCATATTCTAGAAAAGTGATAAAAAAAATCATATGATAAATCTGGAAATAAAATTTTGAATTATTTTCAAGTCAGGTTTTTTTCACTGTTCATCATTCAAACACATGGACTTTGAACATATTAACTTGAAGATGATGTGTTGAGCTATCAAACAAAGCGTGAATTGTATTCAACAGTAATTTAATGTAATGATTGAATCAATTCAATATTACTTATTTGTATCAAAAGAACAAAATATGTAAATTTAATTTACTAAAAGTTATATCAAATTAAAACATAGATATAAACATGTAGATGAAAATACATCAATAACATAGATGCATATTTTCATGTCATAAAGCTTTTTTTAACTTTCAACATTAAAATTCTTTCAATTCAAAGTTTTCATACACTGACACAATTGCAATGAATTATCACTTGCGTTTGATTACATTTTTCTATTATATTGATATATGATTGAGTTATCGATAAAGTAAGTAATCCTTTATCAAAACATCAATCAGAGTTCTTATAAAATAATACATTCCTAAAGAAAGAAAGAAAAATTATCTTTTTAAAAGATGTGATTTTGCATTGCAACTTATGTACACCAGTGTTGTATAAATCCAACAAGATGAGCAAGCAGAAAATCCACTAAAAATAAGATTATACACAATCATTACAAGTTTGTTTGCACTTAAAAATGGTGACAGTCCAAAAGTCTTGACAGGAAGTCCCAATCAGTCCATTGACAAATATTACTCAACCGTCTAACAGAGCTGACATTTGGGCGATTGTTAGCACAATTTCAAATTTGTAATATGGAATTATGAACATATAAGAAATTATCTCCTTTAATCCTTTTTCTGGATCGCAAGACTCACAAGTATCTTGCTGTTTCCTGAGAATTCTGATGATCTACGTGATGAGCTAAACGAACCTTGATCTTTGAGTGGATCAAAAGTATGCAAAGCAAGACGACAGTCACCCGAACTCGTTGCTATGTCTGGGATACAGCAAGAGGAATCGCATCTTTCATCACGTGAAAGGTAAGGCTTCCTTCGATTTAACGCTATATATCTCCAAGTGACAATTTGGCAGTCCACTAGTCACCGACCGTGAAGAACATCGATCACCCGGTTGATACAGTCTCGGTGACGAAACATGGAACCCAGTTCCCGAGCTGTGTAGATGAAGAGGTCGACAAACTGCCGTGTTTTTAGCCACACGTCACACGTCGAGCACGGTGAAGAGGATCGTCACATAAACGTAAGACGTCGAGATGGACAGAGATTCCTGAATTCCGGAATCTTCCGAATCGAATGTCTTCTCTTTGTCCCGGCTGTGAAACGAACTCCCGATTCGTCGGAACTTCGAACTCTGTACAAATCCCAGCAAGCTGAATCTGAATGATATACGAGATTGGGCGTGGCAGCATATGTTGATATGCAGTCTTGCACGGTTTTCCACGGGGCGAATTCTCTTCCGGGCTCCAAGTGCGTGCAGTCCGTCATGAAGGTCGGCTAGAGTACGTCGCGTCCATGCTTTGCTTGGGCTGCAGTGGTACAGAAGCCCCCATCCCAACTAGCCCGCATGGCCACACCTACAGATCCTGCCTTGCTCGCAAGTACGTGCATCACATGCTTGCAGCTGTGTGGGCAGAGCCGGAGGGACGGGCGGGCTGCAGAGAGTGCAGGCAAACCTGCTTGAACGTCGTGCTGAACTTGCACGAGGAACTTGTCCATCTAAAGATGCCCCGTGACTTCTACGCCAGAGTAGAGTTTCCAGGCTCGAGTACGGTCACGCCATACGTAACATCGAGGTGCTCCGCAGAGTCACAACCAAAGTGCAGAGGTTCGTCCACATCAGAACGGTAGAACCAAATCTAGGACCTCAATTTATTCTCGACAGCTGCGTAGGTCTAGCCGTATGATCCGCCTATCTGGGATGGAGATGCAACGGGAGCAAACATTGCAAGTTTGTTAAGGGACAAGAAGAACGGGATGTATATTACAGTAAACAGTAGTGGATAGTCCGGTGCCATTCCGAATGAACCAAAAGAAAATTTTGGGTTTCGGTGCGCTGAGCATTGGAGTAGAACAATACTTGTTTTCAGAATGTCGTACACTAGGGCGAGACAGTCCAGGAATTTAATGGGGCAAAAGAGATTGCAATTCGACGTTCTCCCCCTTTGATCGTGTTTCACACCCTGATGGGACCAATGAATATTTTTTTAGACCATTTACATCTACAACTACATCTTTAACAGGAATTTTTACACTATCATCATCTTCTGATGATTTCATATCCACTAAGGCTCCAGGCATGCTCGACTTTAAGTAGGAAGGCTCGTTCGAACCTCTAACACTAAGCAGTAATGAGTTCAGCGAGTGATCTCTACAAGTGTATGAAGAATTTTGGGATCTTGGAGTGCTGTGACCAAATTCCATCGGGGTCCGCGGTGCCGAGTTTGATGAGACGGAAGTTAGTGACTCGGCACAAAGATGGTCCACCACGACGGTTTTTTGTGACTTGATACTGTTTTTTGAAGAGGTCGATCTTGGGTCTTCCGAGAATGACATTCCAGGATTTTGAACAATCACGAGCATTGGCCTGTGCACGGTTCCACTTTTGGACAACGATGTAGGCTGCAAACAAATCAAGAGACTGGTCTTGGTCAAAAACAGGGAGTGCAATGCTTTCAGTTGATATGCGTGACCAGATCAATCATCCGCTGTAGATGCAGATAGCGCCTGCATCTACAGCGGACGAGGCACAGATTGGGCCACAACATAGAGGATCAACAGGAGAGGAAGGCCTTCTTACCACGCCGATGTGCCATTCTTTGAAGTCCAAACTGTTGAACTGCTTCTCGTTCATCTCCTGGCATAACGGTGCACACACTAGTGAAACTCTTTGTACATTTGCTTCCAGAAAGAAAATGATTTCAGATCCACTGTTGTCGTTCAAAGGACTCTACTCAGAAGCATCTGTGTCATACATAGCCTGAACACATGTCACCGAGAAGAAAGAATTTTAGAGAGATCTGAAACAGGAGTCTCTAATTTCGATCTGGGTGGAATGTAATGAACTTACAACGCTGTAGATAGGAGGTAGCATCCGCTGGCCTGATACATGCAACGTGGGAATGACTGTAAAAAATGGAGTGAGCTCCCTCGATCTGAATGTCCACCTGCAACATTCCAAGCTGCATGGTGACGATACTGCACATTTTCTCCCATGATTTTCACTAAATCTCATAGGACTTCAGTAGCCATATGTGTGTAGGTTCCAGCATTAAAACTACAATTTCCTTCCCCTGATAACAGCAACCTTACCTGTTACTCAACGAATCCACATCTAAAATTTGCTGACCGTCATACGGAGGGAGATCATGTAGACAACAACCTTATCAGGTCACCAAGTTGATCTGCAAAACTCGTTATGGAGACCACAACTTACCCGATGTAGAAAAAAATTCCGATTTCTGTCCACTCCCGTACAAGCAGGCGCATCCAGTACTCATTTGCTACTCCTTCTGCTTTCGCATGCATCTGAAACCCACAAAGGCAAGACCTTTCCCTGTAAGCTTTCAGCTTCTCCCATGTTACAGAACTCATGCAACAGCGTCATCTTAACATGCTTCAGGCGCAGCAACAGCAAGTTATCTTCCCCTTAAAGTCATCCATGCAACACGTAATGCGTTGCACTTTAACGTTTCCTTCCGTATCAAGCTGAATCAGAAGCTGCAAGAGTATTTGGCCTCCTAATTCTTCACTCCTAATTAGCACACACGCAGTGAACTCATTCCAAACAATGCCAAAAATCTAAGGTATCGTTTGGAATATATAATGAGCTAAATGACGTATTCAGCACTACCGTAACAAGTGCTAAAGCGAAAACATACCAGGACTTCGGCTACCACCATCATAAGCATTGCGCCCTGAAACTTTCTGCAACCAATGGCAGCCAGAGAGATATCATAACACCTTTCCAGCTATTGTGAACCTCTACTAAGACAACCAAGTTGGGTATTCATATGAGAGCTCAAAATCTTGACATATCCAGACCCTACAGTGTAAAATTTATCTCTCAATCGTTGATCACTTCTAACAAGATTCCACTTGATCTAGAAACTAGGCTGTCATATATAATCTTCTGGTATAGCCTTCTAGTAATATGAAGTAGTTTTCAAAACCTGGAACAATCTAGTCTTATTGTGTTTACAACCTGTCCTACTCATTGTTGGTAGCTTTATGAACCACAATGTTTATCTCCTTGACGTTGACAGATAATTGTATTCCAACTAAACAACCGGAAAATTAAGATGAACCCCGTCAAGGATGTCTGAAATATATCCAATCTTCCCAAGGCCCTCGCAAGAGAACACATGCAACCTTCAAGATTGGAACAATGCTCCCCATAAGCCTGGGACTTTTGCTCCCCATGCAGATGATATCTGGAAAGCTAGTAAATTCCAAAACCTAATGATGTCTTTAGTTAAATTAGTACTTGAACATTGTGTATTTGGTGGAGATGGCAGTGTGCATCATGTGAACGCCTTCGTCCTGTATGTGCTGCAGCTGCTCTCTTAGCACCGTCAAGTTTCTTGAAACATGTAGGAATATGACATATAGCATTACAAGGTATATTAACACCACCAGTACCTGTTTCAAGCAGGAAAACACATATTAGACTAAGCTTCAGAGACCAAACGCTTAGAGGATCCGTCTAGTCATTCCAACAAATTTCATCATTTTCGGATCTAAGTGGTTGAATTATGACTTACGATATGCTAGCGCAAGTAACACCTACAATATAAACTTGTGACAAGAATTCTTCTTCCGAGATCCAGGAGTGGGAGAGGATTTACCGCAAATTGAGGTACAGCAGCCTTGTAGCCAGTGAGAGTTAGATACAATAGTGATGCAAGTCCTGCTATAGATCGACGCTCGGCGATGGACAATTGCTCGTGCATGATACAGTAACCATGTGATATGAGTAGAAAGGCTATGAAGCATGCTGTCTCAAAAAAAATCCGAGAAACGAACACCCCAAATGCCACCCAGAATGAACATGAGCTTAGATTTAAACAAGAATACCTGTAAAAAACGAAACAAGATTTCGTCAAACCATGGCCTAGTAAGTTGTTCCGCGGTCTTCTCTTAAAAAGGGAGATTCTATATACTGCTTTGCGAAAGGGTTCTTCGGATAATAAACAGAACTACAATATTTGAAAAAATGCTCAGATGGTCGAGAAAACTACATATTTTAATGCATGTACCTTGTTCACAATCGTAAAATTGCAGGCTATATAATTGTGAATACTAGCTGTCTTTAATTGCTAGAGCTTGAGCTGATCTCAGACTGATTGAATATTGTTGGCATACCAGAAGACGAAAGAAAGTCCGAGAACAAGAGCCTTGAGGACTGGCACGGCTGTCAGTACCCACTGCAAATTGCTTGTCTGCACAACCAATAGGCATTACTTTCCGCATAACGAACGACAAACACGCTGCACAAGTGGAGCCTGATGAGATACTTCGGATCCATGGTCCCACTTACACTAAACAATCTACCCAAGTCCATGAACAAAAAAAAGTGCACATTCGCGGCTAAATTTTCAGATGCATTGCAGTAAGTCCAGGTTACAATGCTAGCGGAAACCGAACTAGGAAGAACGCTTCACAGTATACATCAGTAGGTGTGCAAATCACTAAACGACACGCACCTGCCATCTTCTCTTGCTCCAAGTGTTGATCGTCCATACTCCCACTAGGATGATCCAAACGACGAGGAGTCCGAAGAACAAGAAAGGCAGAGGCCTGTAACTTTCCTCCCACTCAGCTGGATTCGTGAACATGGTCTTCTTGCTGTGGTCTACAGCCGTATCCATATTTTCTCCTTAAGCCACCGTGTCTTGTACTTGGACTGATTTCAAACGAATGTGTTCACAGGTTCACGCCTGGCACCTTGCCACTGATGACAGGACGGTTATCCTCTTCCTTTTTCAGCCAGCTGCTGGTCGTGAATGATAGAGACATTTTGACTCGGTGATTTGATTATCTCATGAGACACAGAGCGACACTCACGGCTGGAATGCAATGTGTACAATTTGGTCAGATTCGCGACAGGGCACCTCTCCTTGAGCAACTTCTAGGACCGCAATGCAGACGCCAGTGACTACATGGTTCGACAGAGGGCAGACAAACTCAATTCTCACGTATCATAGGCTCTAGATATCGCTCAGACGTGCAATAGGGTCGACACAGGGCTCGTCGTGGTGGGTATCGACACTCCGACCAAGACAGCGTTTCCTGGGAAATCAAGCGGTTGCGCTTTTCCTGCCGACACTCGATCGACAAATTGATCTCCTCTTTCAGGCAGCGAGACCGACACAACAGCTCCGATGGGAATTGACGCACGAGCCGCACCCACCCTCTACACTTCTAACACTATCTCCGTACTCGCCACTCGCTTGCCGCGGCCACTCGCATTCAGAAGAAGCGCGAAATTGCTCATCATCATTACTCAAGTGCTGTCTCTACATTCTTCGGCTTGTACGGCTCCCGACCTCAGAGCCCTCCGCGAATTGGTACACTTGTCACCCTCACCCGCCGCCGCCGCCAAATTCATTCCACGTCCCGGCCCTGACAGCTTGAGCAACATTTGTCCATCGAGCTCTTCACGGAACTCTTCACGGTCCGAATGGTAGCCTCAACCCTCTGCCTCTGCCGGAGGAGAGAAGAGGGGTCGAGATTCCATACGAGAGAGCGCTTTAATTGCGTCCTGAAGCGCGAGGCACGTGTCAAGCTTGGACAGGATTATGTCGTGAGCGATTCATGCGATCGAGGCGTGCCGTACTGCATCGCTTCGGAACCAGTGAGCGCTCGATCGTGCATCAGCGGGAAACACGACAACACTCGGCTGCTGCTTGAGTGCAGTTGAGTTGAGGTGAGGTGCGGGCGATTTGGCGCAGAAGTGGAAGGTTTTCGCTCTTGCAGTCGGAAGCTGTACATCAGGAAGAGCGAAGAGCTTCAACCCCTAGAATCTGGACGTCGACTGGTTCGAAATTGCACGCGCCTTGACCGTGGGTGCGTCCGGAGAAGTGTCTGGATGAAGAGAGAAGATAACAAGGTGATAGAATTCCTGCTCGTCAGTTTCCAGAGTTTGAATAATTTCAAGGAGGGCCCGAACACTGAGTAGCGAGCGAAGCTACTGCTACAAAAGCGGTCGGCATTCTCATACGACTTTCAACATCTGTACACCTCGACGATCGTAGCGCCTCGACATCAAATCGCTCGCGTATTATACCTTGCACGCAATTCGCACAAATTAAATCCGTCTATTGTCCGATTCCGAGAGTTTCGACTCGATCGCAAGCAGAATCGTCCACCGCTATGAGTTGCAGAATTGCGAAAGGATCGACATGATCTCACCGCACCTCTCAACCTCTCTCACTGTGAACCATTGTCAATCCACTTCGATCGCAATTCTTCAGCCATGACAATCCCAGCGCCCAACAAGCAGCCTCTCTCTCTCTCTCTCTCTCTCTCTCTCTCTCTCTCTCTCTCTCTCTCTCTCTCTCTGTGTCTGTGAGTGTGTGCGACTGATGACAGACCGAGCAACGAACGAACGAGAAGCAGATCGATTAAGAAGGAAGCACACCTTGGTCGCCGAATGCGGAACGCACACATCCATCAGCGAGAAAATGTGTCAAGGGCGTGCACGTTCCATGCCAGCAATCAATAATTCGGCGACCGATCGATCAACGAGAAGAAAGAGAGTCATCACTCGTGAATGACTCGAGTCCACCCTCCCACCAACCTCCGCACCACCAGCACCAGCACCCCACCCTCTGCTCGGTGAGACACAAGCATCACCGAATCCGAATTGAACTCATCGCCTTGAGAGCCCCCTCCCCTTCCGAGCCTGCTCTTCATCATCATCATCCGCCCCTGCTGCTCCCCCCCTCCCTCCCTCCCTCCCGCCCCGCCCCCACCACCACCCTCCGTCCCCCTCCCCCTTCGCTTCCAGTCCCTGCCCGTCCGTCTAACCCGCCCGCCCTCAACCGACCAACTGGTCCGTGCGGCAGCCCAATCAACAGTGGCCGTGTGCTGCCCTCCGCATCAGCCTTCGCCTCCGTCTCTCGTCCGGCAAATCTCCAATTCCGTCTCTCGTCTCACAGATTCAAACCAACAAAACCACCTCCACCTCCTGCGAGTCTCGAGCCCCTCCTCATCATCACGAGGGATCGAGAGATCGAGAGCAAACGAGAGAGACAGAGGCAGAGACACGAGACGGGACGGGACGAAGGGGCCTCCGAGGGGAGCTAACCGTTTGGACCAGTCCCAAACGGAGCGGCAGCAGCGGGTTCCGGGGCCGGGTCCACCATGCGGCCTCGTACCTGCCGTTCCCAATACGGACCGGTACACGGCGCTGGCAGTCTCCGTCTGGTACGTCGCCGATCGCTGCTGCATGCGCGGAGTTTCTGTGCCTCGCTGAGCTGTCTCGCCCAGCCCTCGAATTGCCCAGCCATCGGTCGTTTGTGTTTTCTCACATAGATTTCAGGCAAGCGTAGCTCTGGCGTATCAGATGGTTTTCAGCCCGTCGAGACGCGTCCTGTGAGCTCGAGTTCTCCAACTGATTTTGGCAAATGAGGGATATGCTCTCAGGACTTCTTCATGGTGCAACATCCACTTTTCATGTGGAGGTCACGTGTAATTGTCCGGCCAGTTTTCTCATCTGCTATGGTCACCCTCCTCAGCGTTCCATGGACAAATTCTACAAATTGTATTTTTGTTCTGTTTTCTGATCTGAATTGCATATCAAGCCCTTCCAAACGTAGTGAGTGATACATTTTGCTTCATTATATTCTCGTTATCGAATTTATGGTGGCGGTCTATTGCAAACTGTGTTGGAGGTTGTTGTGAGGCCATGCAAGTCTATTGCGCTTGAATAAAAGAGAAAAGGCTTAACATATGTAGAATTTGTATCCCTAAATGCCCCATCGTAAATATTAGTTACATTCTTCTTCTTACGTAACCACTCTAAACAAATTTGTAACCAATATGCTCAAACATATTCTACATCTTCCATACAAACCTGTCGACAATGAAGCCCTGAGTTTATGCTTTAAGAGTTTTGGGGAATATTCTTAGTTTTTGTACCAGGTAAGAATGTTATCATGAGATAGTATATATCGTGAACATTGCAAAACATTATGAAACCTATTTTAGAATTATATTTATTTATATATACATATACATGATGGAGTATATGTATATATGAATAGATCTATATATTAAAGTACTCATTACTCTTCAAAAATAATAAGTTTTCATTTCTCACGGTTACTCCATATCAATTATAAATTTTATAAATAGGAAATGGAGTATTTGAGCCTTCACTTTAACATCAACAAATTTATTTTCTCTATTCTGTCAAATTTAAGTTGTAAATTTTTGGTACTCCATGGCGGCTTGTTGATTTTATACCATAATGACATTCTTTCCTTAGCCTTTTTTTCTATCTCATTATTGAGTACGTAATTTCATTCAGATCAACTGAAATCTCAAGCTTGTTAATCGTTCAAACTAATATCATGTCATTGAAAATCAAAATCAAAATCAAACTATTTAAATTATATATCACAAAATATTATATTTAAATATTTTGTTAAATCCAATTTTCCTTAAATCTCAATCTTGTAAAGATTGAGATTTAAGATAAAGATCCTAAAAGATATCACTGATATGTAAACGTAAAAAAATTTGAGATATTTATCAATTAAAGTAATGTTAGATTATAGCATTGTGAGGACAAGAGAAAGAGTAAAAGTTAGTCCTTTTTACTCTTTGTCTTGTTCTATACTTAAGAAACATGTCATGTTTTCTGCATGCGCAACTTCAAGATTGTGTTTAGACATACAAAAATTTCACTGATTTTTCAGACTTAAATTTCTAGCCATGCTACTTTGAATAATTTTCTTTGAAGCTGATGACATGTAAATCTTGATGATCTCAATGAACATGCTTTTTTATTACTTTAGAATCCAAATCTCATCATATGAGGTTAAGAATCAAGTTGTTGGAGTATAAAAGTACAATCTCTTTGCAAATAATTGGTTTTTTATTTTGAAAATGTCAGATGTATATGTATGACATCCATTGGCGGTTTGTAAATTAAAAAATGCAACCTAGACTCAAGGATTTTGTTATTAATACGCTGCATCATCTATCAATTGCAGATCCATGACATGTCTTTGATTGATGATGTTCAGTAGAATCTATTTCAAACTTGTTCAGTGATCTAGTATATTTTTCACGTAATGTTTTGTCTCTCTTGAAGATTTTTTTGTAACTGAATCCTGGATATCTGTTACAACATCATTAAAATATGAGTATTTGATGATGAGTATTTGGCACATGATAATACATCATTGTCAATAACTTGTGAAGAAATAGTTACAAGATACTTATTTTTACCATTATTGGCAAATTGCACAGTCTCATCACGTTGATTATCTTTTACTTCTAAGTTTAATTTGTAGATAAATTATTTCTGAAATGTTTGCAGAGTATATGGAAACATTATTATATTTCATACATGTATTTTTTCTAATACAATAGGTATTTATGTTTTCAATGTTTATTTCTCAATTCACAAATTGAACAAGAGGTTCATAATCTACTTAAAAACACCAATATTTTCAGTAGACTTTGCATTTACTCCAAATGGTTTCAACGATTTCTTGTATATTGAGTTGTCTTCTATGTGTTCATTATGGCAAAAATGTAGATTATTGAATCTTGATTTGATCATGTAATATGGATTTCTAACTTGCAATAGTTACTATTTCACAGCAATGAAGTTTTGCTTGGTCCACATCTTTATTGCTAAGAGAATGTTAGATCTCATACATCTAGATGTTTGAGATAAAATATGACTTGATCTCCATTCAAAAGATAACTATCCTTAATGTGATTAGAAGTGTTGTATTTTGATGAACTGCAAACGTGAATGCGTCACACGAAGAGACTGTTGACATAAGTTGGCCATGGAGGACGGTGACAATGGATTTTGTATTCTGTTTAAATGTAGCAACATATGATTGAAGATGTGGTGGTTTGATTCTATGAGATACAGTTGATGAGGCTTAGGTTCGAATGAATTGACTTTGCTCAAAAGAACAACATATGACTGTTAATATGGTGGTTTGTTGCTACACCTGGAAGAGCATGATTACACATGTTCATGATGAGCAGCAACTGTTGTCATCATACTCGCAAAGGTATCTAGATACATATCATCTCTTTGTTTTCCTTGCATTGGAGTTATATTGAGTTATTGATACAAATTTTTATTATTTTGGAATGAGTTTGCAAGGCACTAGCATGCTAGTCGACATGATGTTTCATAATCCTTGCATATTGCATAACTCATTCTAGTCAGTAATGTGCAATGCTATAAACAAGAGTGCAATCACGTTTGATGATGCAAAATCAGATGCTAATACCGTTGGTTTTTGTATATAGATTGTCTAAATTATTTGAATGTTGTCATACATATTTCTCATCATTATACTATCAAAGCACAGCGCTTGGTATCTTTTTTGTTTCCTTATTTCTACGCTATGACGGGATTTTCCCAACCTTTTTCTTATTTATTCTGAAGATATCCTTAAGCTCTGGGGCATAAGAAGATTCCGATTTCAGTTCGAACATTGAACGATTCAGACCAGGACTTGCAGTGTTTCAATGTTGTATGTGCGGGTCAGAAAAGAAATAAGTCATCCTTATGGAGGGATGAGCAGCCAACTATGTGGATCTAAGAATGAGAAAGAGTATATTGCTACTGTTTGGCTTGTAGTTTATCGATAAAAAAAGAGTCCAGTGCATCATGTACAGCTCACACAAGATAGGCACTACGCAGCCCGGACAACAACGATACCTGTTCCGATCTGATGTTCATCTTCTCTATCTTCTTGCTGTATATATTTCCCACTTCGAATATATTCTGCCCGCTTTCTGATGACGCCATTTCAGTTGCTCTCTTATCCGTCCTCTACTACGATGAATCACTGGAAGGAGCCGATGTTCTCCGCTAAAGTTAGCCGTCTTGTCGCGACCTGAGTGTACCATTTCATCACTACTTGACAAGACGATCATTGTCCATATGCACTAATAATTTTCCGAGCGTATTGAGTATAGATAAGAGATAAGTACAAGCTAGGGAGAAGTGAGAGTACAAGAGTGGGCATACTGGATTGCAATTTAGTAAAAATATTTTTATTTGGTGGCATTGCGGATTTTTAAAATATTGGAAAATTCTGTTGAGAATAAAATGAATTTGTAATGTTAGGCTCACTTTTAATCACTGATATATGTCTCATAATTACTACATTCCAATCAAGTTTTCTATCCTATCTTGGTTTTTTGATATAAGTTGAAAACTCATGAGCATGGAATAACATGCTATATGCTTTTTTTAGATTTCTGTAATATGATAGTCAAAATTTACTAATGTGAGTTGTGGTGTTAGTGAGT